CCCTCCCCGCCCCAGCGCTCCTCCCTCCCTGATCGCGTTGAGTGAGAGTCTGCTGGCACTTGTGCTTGTGAGTCACAGTGCTCGCTACTCGCTGGCTGGCTGGACTCCCGCCGGATATGATCGAATCTCATTGAACGCCGGAGAGTTTCTGCCTGAGTTTGGGTCGCTGGCAGTTCATCGGATAGCACACCCCTTCTTCAATTCTTCAAGTTCTCCTGGATCCCGAGCCAGTCGCGTCAGGAAGTTGCCTTGTGACACCTGTTGTGTCAATTCGTGTGATTTCCCACTGATTTTCTGAGTGAGTACAAAAAGGAAAGGATTGAGTTAATGGTCTACCACTTTGAATTATCACGTACGAGAATTATCTAAAGGCTGTAATTATTGGCAATCAATCAATCAATCAATCAATCAATCAATGTTTATGCTTGATTTGTTGGTTTCTAGATTACGTTTTCCATTCAATGATTTTGGAAGTAAACTTCACCGTCCTGTCTCAAAATTTAGTGCATTTTCTTGATTCTTTTGGATTTTTAAGACGATTATCAGTGATTATCTTTGGGGTGATTGAGGATTACGAAAGTGGCAGACCCATTCGGTTGCGTTTCATTTGGGCATAGCAAGGGTCTCTGCGCACTTGCTCTCTTCTTTCTCTCATATCAGGAATTTTGGCATATTTCTCAAAACCTGATATCCCTTTTTATTTTAGAAAGTCCCTCTACCCAAAGGTAAAGGTTTCCCATTTTGATAAAGATTGTTTTCTCCTGTCTGCAGAGAATTAAGTCAACATGGAGATGTGTCCCTATGAAATGGAGGACATTTTCAACTATATACCAAGATACTTCAGACATGTAATACCTGACGACTGGAATACATATGGTAGCAGAAATAATAAAGTTGATTTGTTGGACCGATTGTCAGATGATGATTATGACTGGAACAAAATTTCTCGGAAGATGGGTAATAAATTTGAAGTGGTTGAGATTTGGAAAATCCAAAACCCTAGAACATATGGCCGCTATGCCAAGAGGGCTGATAAGTACAGAACCTGGTTTGACAGGGAGCCAAAAAGATGGCAACTGTTTCATGGTACTCAACCAGAAAATGTCAAAAGTATTATTGATCAAAATTTTGATCTCAGAAATCTGCACACAAAAGGTTTGTTGTTTTCCACCTTTTTTAAGAACTAATTTTGAGTTTTGATTTAATAATAGTAATGCTTGTAGACAAAGGGTACATTAAGTAATTATTTTCATGTCATTATTTTCAGAAACCTCATTTTATTTTACTGGTGAAGGTGTGTACTTTACAAACTCTGCAGCTTATGCTGATTGGTGTGTTGGTGGTCATAATAAAACGTAAGATAAAGCCTCACTTGTTATGGAATATTTTAATCTTTAGAACTCGTATTACTTGTTCTTTAAATTTTGACAGGTGTTTTATGTTTAACTGTGAAGTGCTGATTGACTCCATCAAAACTGTCAACGACCCCAAGTTAGTCCGCTATGGACCTCCTGCTCGAAGAGGTTTTAAACAGGAAGTTGCTGATCTGCGAGATGATGGGATAGAACCTCACCCTTCTATAGTGTAAGAATTATCTCTTTACCTTCACACCTTCATTATCTGAATCAGAACAAAATTTTCACCTTTAGGCAATGCCTTGCTTAGGAGAAAAAGCCATAGATTGTAACAGTGAAAAAATCCTAATTGACATGTCTTGGTTTGTCTCTGCTACTAGCCATTCTAATTGATGTCACATTTATTTTCTAGGTATGACACAACTGCAAGAGGTGATAAAGATGAATATGTGAAATTCAGGAGAAATGAGTATTATCCAACCCACCTTATTATGTATAGCAGGTGGTAATAATTACTTGGATGTCCATTCACAAGTTCCTGTCGGTATGTACTGTAAATGTGTCACTGTTTTTCTGCTGTATAAAAAGTGATATTCCAAAAGAAATAGCGGGACGGATTTTCTGTGGTGACCCTCTTAGGCCAATTTTACATCAATTTGATGTCAAAATTACATCAAATTCCACAATTGTAAAATACATCATGTGACTTTAAAATAATCAGGTCACAAGGTTTGCCTGTTTTTTTTTGTTTTTGTTTTTTTTGGTGGGGGGGGGGGGGCATCAATGCAACATAAATGAAAATACACTTGCCACTTCAGCCAAATTCACCAAGACTTGTCACATTTTTGCAGCACTGTAACGAATTTTAGATTCCTAGGACCAGGGCTTTTATCACCCAAAAAGAATTTCTGAGCCACTGCAGGTCTAGAGATGGTATTTGGGGATGTATTTTTCAACAACCTGAAGTGACTCAGAAACTAGTTTTATGTTAACGAATGTACAGAAAACTCTTTTGGGGAGATAAGAGCAATTACATTTGATGTAATTTTGTTCCCTGATTAATATGATAGACAAAATACTTGAGCAATCAATTTAAAATTTTGCCAAATCTTGATGTTCTAAGTTTGTCCGCTGTTTGGACTCAGTGTGTTACAAATTTCAGCCACCACTCTTTGGAATTTGTTTGCCCAACTGACGGACAATTTATCCCTACTTTTGTCCAGTGGCGGACTTTCATATGTTGAGAATTGGCTTTAGGCTCATTGGACCCATAGACTCAAGGGACCCCATCCTCCCCTATAGAATAGTTGTTTGGAAGAACATTTGTTTGCCCAGTAAAGGTCGAGGTTTGCTTGCATAGAACAACAAAATCCAACTAATTGAAACAGATTTGTCAAAAACCACTCAAATTGAAGTACTCTGATTTTGACAAGTCTGTTGTATTTTAAATCATTCAATTTGATGTCATTTTGATATCTAATTGATGTGATACTGACAGAATATCTGTGGTAAGAATGATGTTCTTAACAAATTGTCTGAACTTATAATTATCTCATAAACTGAGAAAGTGAAATTCAGTGTGTAATTTGTCACACCCTCTATCATGCTGCGGACCATAATTTTTCTAAAAACAACCATAATTACTCTGTTGTTGACTGATCTTGATAATGGAAATTACTATGTGAGCGTACAAGACCTAAATTAAATGAAGATCTGGAAGTATTTTTTAAAAACTGTTTTGCACATTGAAACAGTCTGCTGGCAAGATTTGTCTGGGTTGTTTTGGGGCTTTCATTGCCTTCAATGAAAGTTTGATAAACATACACAATCCACTTCTACCAAATTAATCAAGAACTGCCAGATCAAAGCACTGTAATGTATTTTAGATTCTTAGATGTGGCATCAATTAAAAATTTGACCAAATCTTGACAAATTGCTCTTACTTAGGCTAGCAAGGAACCAAAACTTGTGATTTTGGTAAATTTCTTGGCAACAATAGGTATAGGCGTAATCAAACATTAAAGGGTACAAGGCTGTGAATATTCCCATCACGGTCTAAACTGTATGATGAGTTTGATGGCAATCTATCACTAATTTCTTTTGCTATTTTTTTAAAAGTTGTGACAAAATTCTGACCACATCACATAAAAAGAGTGCTCTAATTTCGAATTGATCTATGTCACCTGGATGATTAACAAAACATTTACAATTCATTGGGCTAGTGGTACTCGTAAAGGTTCTTGGATTACTTACCTTACACACATCTGGGGAATGGCCGCGCATATACTCCACGCCCTCTGATGGGGTATGACCAATGGGGTGGGGGCGGGGGATTTGCCCTTCCATGAAAAATGAACCGACTTCATTTTCACCCGTAGCCATGGTAGTAGTCTGGAGTACATGGTCCTCATGTGAATGCCAGTCTAAAGACTCTCAGGAGAAAAGCGCCTGCAGCGCGCTGGGTAGGCCAACCCGCCAGCCGTACGTGTGGAGTGGGCGGCCCGCCTGAGTGAGCGTCTGTGCAGGCTGCGGGAAGTGCGCATACCCCACGCTCTCGCCCTAGCATAAATATATGCCCTGGGTATGTCCGCCTGGAGTCTATATCCAGCCAGTGGAGAGGCGCAACGGAGTGTGCAGTGCACGTGCACATGTGGACCCACCGAGGAGTCTTGCGCGACGAAGTGACGAATGGCTCAAGTCAGATGACACAGAGAAAATTTTACTATGTTCACGTTGTTAAACTGATTAATTTTTACTTTCGATTTTGAGGACTAATTTGAAAAACGTCAAGGGTTCTTTACAGTTGAACTATGAGATTTACAAAAAATAACCAACAAAAATATTTTATTGGGGGAAATACGTAGAAAAACAGTATGAAGAATCGAGATTACCCCTTGTAAAAGTACATCACAGAAGGTTTACTACGAGGTACAGGACAGCTCCCAAAATGCCGTGAGTTTCGGTCGGTGGTCAAGGTCTTCCCACCGATCGAAGTTCTGGAACATAAATACACATTCGGACGGTTTACACGAAGAAGTCACAACATAACACTCATCGGAATATGTATTAACCCAACAAAAGCACCTCAGGAATTCCCTGCTGCCAACCAAAGACGAACTGAACGGCCGGGTGTGATGGAGGTCTCGATGGAGGCGAG